AAGTATATCATCATATCACAGAATTCTACTCGAACACCGCATCGAAATTCTTTTCACCCCTTTTTTTTCTTCTTCCTTTTTTTGTTGTCCCTTTTAGCTCTCCTTTTTTCCTTTTCCTTCCTTCTCTCTCTCTCTCTTTTTTAGAGGGGCGGGGGGAGGCAAAGACCTTTTGCCCAACCCCCATCCACAACTTGTTGGCAGGGAAAATTGCAACTGCATGATATCCCCCTTCTTTTCTTCCTCACTTTTCCTTTTTTCTTTCCATTTTCTTCCTTCCTTCTCTCTTATTTTGTTTTATTGGGGGGAGGCAACAGCCTGGGAGGCAAGGCCCTTTCGCCCCCCCCCCCCCGATCTCCTTCTTCCCCCTTTTCTTTTCTTCTTCCTCTTCTTTCTTTCCCTTTCTCTCCTCTTTCCCTTTCCCTCTTTTCCTTCTCTCTCTCTCTGTCTCTCTCTCTCTTTTGCGGAAGGGAGGGGGGGGGGCAAGGCCCGCTCACCCCCGCTGGATCCGCGTCTGCATCTACCTATAACGTTAGACCCTAATAATGGATCTAGAAGATTGATTGACCTGGTCTCAGTGACGGGTAAACTTTTTTGTTCTCAATTACTTGGTCTAACCATGAAAACCGTCTAATTTTACTTTAGATTTTCAAACAGTAACAGTTACGACCTAAATTAGGCCTAAGGCCAAGGGCTGTACTCTACATTTTAATAACAAATTAACGTTAACGTTAGACTTAACTTAAACTGTTGTTTCTCTGTGATACAAGTGGGAAAGGAACACTTTTTTTTCCAAAAAAAAAAAATCTTTCCCCTTTCTCCCCCCTTTTTTTTCCAAGGGGGAGGGGGCCGGGAAAATTGCAACTGATATCCCCCTTCTTTTCTTTACTTCTTCCTCAATTTTCCTTCCCTTTATCTCCTCTTCAGTGACTGGTCCCTCAGAAACTAGTGCTAATCCAGTCACAGAGAAATCATGAATTCAACTGATGCCTGTCAGTGCATTGTAAATTTGATTTTTTTTCTTCAAATTTCATTTAAAAATCTTTTCATATTTGATAAATATGGTGCATTGGCATATGGGCTATGGTTGGAGCGTTGGATGCGTTGAACAGCGTTGGTGTATTATGTGGATTTATCATATTCATATTCTGAATATTTTCAGCGAATTGAATAATATTGAAAAGGATGCAATTCATAGTTGTACTCGATAATTCTCACTTAACATATTTCTCTCTCTCTCTCTCTCTCTCTCTCTCTCTCTCTCTCTCTCTCTCTCTCCCTCTCCCTGTCTTGCTTAAAGAAAATATGAAAATAATATTTTGCCTTGATTAAGAAAAATTAAAAATTTTATCAGTATTAAACAGGGAGAAGGAAAGGGGAGGAAATTAATCAAAACAAACATTGAAGAATCCAATTCAGTGTTCTTTCGTGATGCATAAGAATGAAAGTACATTAAAAAGGTGAAATAATAAATTGAAGTGCGATGATAAATCAATTCTTTGAAACAATATGGTCTGAGGGTCATATATCTTCGAATATTAGAAAGTTGCATCCACCATCATGTTGTTGAACACTATTTGCAATTTAATTTTAATGCGGTGACGTGTCGGTTACGAGCAGAAAGTCATATCAGGCTTCTATATTTTATAATACTATCAACAAATATCTGGATAGAGACACTTCGTCACATCAAGCTACGAGAAAGTATATCATCATCTCACAGAATTCTACTCGAACACCGCATCGAAATTCTTTTCACCCTTTTTTTTTTTTCTTCTTCTTTTTTGGTCCCTTTTAGCTCTCCTTTTTTCCTTTTCCTTCCTTCTCTCTCTTTTTTTTTAGCGGGGCGGGGGAGGCAAAGGCCTTTTGCCCCACCCCCATCCGCAACTTGTTGGCGGTAAAATTGCAAGTGATATCCCCCTTCTTTTCTTTACTTCTTCCTCAATTTTCCTTCCCTTTATCTCCTCTTTTCCTTTTTTCTTTCCATTTTCTTCCTTCCTTCTCTCTTATTTTGTTTTATTGGGGGGAGGCAACAGCCTGGGAGGCAAGGCCCTTTCGCCCCCCCCCCGATCTCCTTCTTCCCCCTTTTCTTTTCTTCTTCCTCTTCTTTCTTTCCCTTTCTCTCCTCTTTCCCTTTCCCTCTTTTCCTTCTCTCTCTCTCTCTTTTTTGCGGAAGGGGGGGGCAAGGCCCGCTCACCCCCGCTGGATCCGCGCCTGCATCTACCTTGTATCTACTAACGTTAGACCCTAATAATGGATCTAGAAGATTGATTGACCTGGTCTCAGTGAAGGGTAAACTTTTTTGTTCTCAATTACTTGGTCTAACCATGAAAACCGTCTAATTTTACTTCAGATTTTCAAACAGTAACAGTTACGACCTAAATTAGGCCTAAGGCCAAGGGCTGTACTCTACATTTTAATAACAAATTAACGTTAACATTAGACTTAACTTAAACTGTTGTTTCTCTGTGATACAAGTGGGAAAGGAACACTTTTTTTTCAAAAAAAAAAATCTTTCCCCCTTTCCCCCCCCTTTTTTTTCCAAGGGGGAGGGGGTCGGGAAAATTGCAACTGATACCCCCCTTCTTTTCTTTACTTCTTCCTCAATTTTCCTTCCCTTTATCTCCTCTTCAGTGACTGGTCCCTCAGAAACTAGTGCTAATCCAGTCCCAGAGAAATCATGAATTCAACTGATGCCTTCTAAATTGTAAATTGTAAATTTGATTTTTCTTCAAATTTCATTTAAAAATCTTTTCATTTTTGATAAATATGGTGCATTGGCATATGGGCTATGGTTGGAGCATTTGATGCGTTGAACAGCGTTGGTGTATTATGTGGATTTATCATATTCATATTCTGAATATTTTCAGCGAATTGAATAATATTGAAAAGAATGCAATTCATATTTGTACTCGATAATTCTCACTTAACATATCTCTCTCTCTCTCTCTCTCTCTCTCTCTCTCTCTCTCTCTCTCTCTCTCTCTCTCTCTCTCTCTTTCTCCCTGTCTTGCATAAAGAAAATATGAAAATGATATTTTGCCTTGATTAAGAAAAATTGAAAATTTTATCAGTATTAAACAGGGAAAAGGAAAGGGGAGGAAATTAATCAAAACAAACATTGAAGAATCCAATTCAGTGTTCTTTCGTGATGCATAAGAATGAAAGTACATTAAAAAGGTGAAATAATAAATTGAAGTGCGATGATAAATCAATTCTTTGAAACAATATGGTCTGAGGGTCATATATCTTCGAATATTAGAGAGTTGCATCCACCATCGTGTTGTTGAACACTATTTGCAATTTAATTTTAATGCGGTGACGTGTCGGTTACGAGCAGAAGGTCATATCAGGCTTCTATATTTTATAATACTATCAACAGATATCTGGATAGAGACACTTCGTTCCGATAACTACACTGGCGCGAACGTGCCCCTTTAGGTTTTGAATGACAAACTTCGTGTAGGGGTTTACTTTGCACCGAAGCGGTGAAGGCTTTTACCTGTGTGTGAAATTGTGACCTTCAGCTTACATCGTCATACTTCAAGTTGGTTGATTATTGTCGGATAATTTCTGATTGATTTTTTATTCTGCGTCATCGTCTTCATCATAAGCTTGGAATATGTTTGACCATATGAGAAAAGCCATCTCAAACAGATGTTTTCAATGGGATTCAAACTCGGTAAGTATTTTTAAAAGTTTTATTCTTGACAGACCATAACATCTTAAAAATATACATCATTCTGAGCGTAAAAGGTTTTACAAAAAAAAGGATGACGATAATAAAAATCTGATCTTGTTTAAACGCACAACTCATTATAACGTCTCGATCTGAATGCTTTCATTTTTTGTATGGATATCATTACGCCGGCTTTATCTTTGGCAACCGTAGCACTCGATGCATTCAAAGAATAAATCCCAACAAGTACCAATCAAATACACCTGGGTAGAGTATGGCAATTGTAGAATAATGTCTTACCAGAGAACGTTAGTGCTGCGACCAGGCGCGTACGCAGGGGGGGGGGGGGGGGGGGGGGTTAAACCCCCCTTGAGTTTTTTTTAATATGTTTTGTCTATGTTTTTTGGGGACCCCTCCCCCCTTCGATTTTTTTTGTGTGTCCTCTTACCCCCCCCCCCCCCCCCCGCTTATTCAGCGGCTGGCTGAGTCGTTGCGAAATTTTTGACCCGACTTTAACCCCCACCCCTTGAAAAAAATCCTGCGTACGCCACTGACTGCAAAAGGGATTCGAACCCCGTACGTTGTAAATCACAGTCTAGAGACATCACCTCTAGTAATGAGATATAACAGCATGTTAATAAAAATATTACAAAATCATTCTTTTGGTGATCACACGAGCTACGAGGACGTGAGTGTGTATAATGGAGATCTTAAATGTTTATAGCTTTGTGGTCAACCCCCCCCCCCCCTTTCCCCCCATCAGCAAAAATGAATTTCTTAATCATACAAACAAAAGACGAAGACACGCGATTTGAGGAAGGTATAAGTTTTAGCAACTTGAATGACAATGCTAAATTAATAAAATATATGTGGATACATATGAAAAGGGAGAATTATCTTTTCGATGTGTTTTCTTTTTTTTTTTTTAATGAAAAAGGGCATCGAAATGAAAGCTCGCCGGAGTTGGCAACATCGTTATAAAAAATAGTTATGCTTGTGTTCCCCTGTATTTTATGAAAATAAAGATGATAAAAGAACAGGGATGGTATGTAAGTAAGAGTTAGCGTATCCTATAGAAACAATACAATAAGAGGAGAGAGGAGGAGTATGTGAGGTCCAGGAGTGGCTACGCCACCCCTTTCCGCCCCCTTCAAAGAAACGACGCTACGCCCTCGATGGAGTCGTTAAACTTTCATCTACCCTCACTTTCCCATTACCTTATACCGTCTAGTCGTCAAGGGTATTGGTGACCTGCGACGCCCGCGATCTCCGAGAGCAAGGGAAGCCAACTGGTGGCAATCGAACTTGATGGAGCCCCAAGCAAACATTGTACCTGCAAACATTGTAGTGTCTATACGCGCATGCAGATCGAGTTCATTCCTCATTCTGCACATCGATGTCTTGGAAGAATTGTGTCATCTACACAGACTCGCCCGTGTGCTAATTTTCGATAGACAACTCAATTGTCATCGCCTTTGGCGTATTTCCCACTTGTTACCTGGTTTATATCAGCAGCGGGATTGTATTCGCCGGCATGTCTTAGATGTAGCGACAACGTAGTCACTTTCCACGGCGACACATCGCAGAGAAACTTCGAAGTTCGACCTCGTTCAATAGAAGCTCTTTTTATTTCGAGACGGTCTAATAGTTGGATAATTATTTCGGATGATTTTGATTCTGCTTTCTCAGTCTACATTGCTACTTTTGTTTAGGATATGTTCGCCTATTTAAGAAAAGCCGTCGCCAGCAAAATGCGTCTTTGTAATATAATGGTGGTAAGTGAAAAAGTTATTTCATTCAGATTTCAGTACAACTGAGATCCTATGCCGGATCCTATGTTCATTGGTACCTGGTAAGGCTACGTACTCGGGAAGAAGATATTTGTACGAATGTTGGAACCACCAACACCATAGATTAGTCATGCTGAGGAACGGACAACTTTTCAAGCTAAAGTTGAGTTCTGGTCATGCGATTGCATTTGGAAAGAATGTTTTGGAATCGATCAGAAAAGGTTGATAAGCATTGGTGTGTACTGCACGGTCTGGAATTATCAAAATGATAAGGCATTTGAAGAGCCAAGCTTTTCAGGGAACACTTTGTATCTGATGTTCTTCCACACTTATATAATACAATGATAACGCTCACAAAATATTTGTCCCCTCTTCCCAGAACTTAACCTTCTCTTGACTTGACTTGAATTGAAATTATTTCCATCATCATCACATTACATGAGGGGCGTCAATCCTTAATAATATGTGTGTGTGTGGGGGGGGGGGGGTGAACACAATGGAGCAAAATATGAAGTCTGAGGGAGGATGTTTAGGCCCCCTTAGAAGTTGAAAGAAAATTGAATTTTCGAACTCATTTGGCGCGATTTGGTGCATACTTTCTAGTAATATTTGACTGAAAATCATTGACTAGATTCCAATTGATTTTTTTTTTGCCAAAAAAAGGGGAATATCTTTTATCACTATTACAAAGACTCGGAGACTTATTTGCTTTAAAAGCTTTGAAATGATTCCATGGAATATCATGATAACAACAGTTAGGTTTTAAAATTACTACATGTACATGTGCAAGTACGAGATATTAATGCTGAATAGTAATTTAGATCATGTCTATCCTAATATAACAATGAAATATAATTGCAAGTAATGATTATGCATTTCAAAATGTTTTCTGTGTTATCGTTTTAATTTTTCAATTGAAATATACACTTAAAATTTCAGTGCATTACTGTATTGTTGACAGCCCAGGGTAAGTAAAGGTCCATGAAAAATGAACTCTCTAACAATAAGCCGTATTCATAAAAATAAGTAATTACTACTAGTAAAACCATAAGCTAGATTAAGTACAAAGTAGGGAAACAAGAAAATATGGCCCTTCGTAGACAGGTGGTCTTTGTAGACAGGTGGTCACTAGAACAGACTTGACTGTACCATGAACCCTGGCTACCACAGGGTCCGTGGGAGTACCAAACCTCGAAATATGTTCCTCTTGGGGGCTATTTTAAATAGTCGGGAAAAAAAGGAAAAAAAAGTTGTCCGAAAGAGAGAAATCACGCGTCTTATGGAGAGGAATTAAAGTACATTGGGAATCAAAGGTCTTAGGTTTGAGCAATGCCATTGAGAAAGGCATTTTATATGCTTTGCTCCTCTTCATCCAGGTAAATACTAACACTAAAATAAGGTGTTTCTCCAGACTTATTAATAAAGGCAAATCATGCATTCGTATGTTTTCGTATCCGGGTCAGATATTCTGTCTGTTTGACTATATAACAGAAATCTGTTAAATTAACCGATATTCATGTGCACAATCTATTTGATTGATTATGTGTACCCGTATATCCTTCTGTCGTGCAGAAAATTTCCTCACTTCGAAAAATATTGAGATGCCTTTATTTCAATATCATAAACGACCCAATAAACCAGGCATTAAAATACATTCGTGAATATTATTCATACCATAACACAATGATAGTGACGAGTTGACGACTGACGAAAAAATATTTCGATGTGGCCATTATGAGATTAGAGGGAAATAATTAATCCACAATCCATTATTGGCAGAATTACGTCAGTTCGTGATGCCAAGATATGTCACCATGGCAACACAAAGATTTTGTATGTACGAACATGCCTTGGCAGTGTTTAGACGTGGGATGGAACTGAAAGAATTTCCTACATAATATTATACCCTTTCTTCCTCCCCTCAAGTGTACCATTAAACAAAGAATGAATATTGATCATATTAAATCAAGAGCGGAATTCAAATTGGGTTTATATGACTGTGAATATTTGCAGATCGGCCTTGGCCGCGATGAAAATAATTCTCATAAATAAACCATTACAACGCCAATTTCAATTCTAATTTCAATTTCAACTTTTCTCTTCCCTTTCCTTATCTTTTCAATCATGTCTATAACGATTATCTCCCGTGGAGTTATGTATGTGTCGCCTTTAATAAACTACTCTCGTGGGGGGGGGGTATGCTTCTATAAAACAGGTATTTGCATACATCACAATTGAATTATTCATCCCTACGAATAGAAGAAAAATTATTAACCAGACACGCGTGATTATAAACATGAGATGGAGAGACAGATTAAACTGATGCGTTGCTATGGGAAACGGAAATATGAATGCATAATGATATCTCATCCTCCATAATCACAATGCATAGTGTCACTGGATTCTGTAGAATATATGCAAGATCGAGTGTAGTGCTCTCGTGTAGGAAAATCCCACGAATTAAATACATTTGTCTGACGAATACTAATGTCTGTTCGCGAAAATAAATGTCATGGGGTTTATGCATCTCATATCACAATTACAAACACAGAAACGAAACAAAACCAAGTGAATAAACCCGCTGTTAATTTGACTAACTGGACTCCAAGGAGAAAGCCATTTTGGAATTTCTCTTGGTATCCCCTTCAAAAAGGGAGAACCGGGATTACATTCCATTATTTTTGTTTTAAATCAATATGAATCTCGCCAACTTTTTGCAATTTCTTTTGTATAAGAATAGAAAATTTTACGATGCGCGTCATCATTTATTATTATAAACTCCTACGTATTTTGACTCGGGATATTCTGCGATATAATTCGATACATTATTACGCTATATTTCCTTATTATTAATGATATCCTTGCCAAGTTTGTCTAATGTTACTCTATGAGTTAACCAAGTTTTCACACTTATTCCATATACAATAGCTGAGCATTATCATACCATATTTTCTTATCTTTAACTCGTGATGTTCTTCTGTACCCAAAGTTTGAATATAATCACATTGTTTTTTCGTTACTATATAGGACTCTTGCCAATACCAGATAATTTCCCGCCATGGCAAAATAAATACGCGGAGGTCCGCATCTCCTCATGATTGGTATCTCTTCCAAGACTTTGATTACTCATAACTTTACCAAGTTTACAAAGATATTAAAGGTAATACAAAGTTTTGGTATGGGGTCATGAATTTGGTTCAAATGAACATATTGGGAGCATATGCGATCCTCCAATATTCAGTGACCTTTGTCGCGGTTGAAATCGAGTCTAAAGTTATGAAATTGTAGATAATAAACTCTTTATGTTGTATAGCTCCCTCTGAAGGTCAAGATATTAATTAAGCTATAAAACAATTTTTCTTGACTAAACTTGACCTATTAGCCATTCCCGTTTGGAAATTATATATCACAACTACATATTCTGAAATGTTCATGGTCGCAGTTACCAGTTTGCGGCTGCAGGCGCTATAAATACTCGAAATTTATCAAAATTTACCGGGAGCACCGGTAAATATTTATATTCAATTTTTCTCGAAAGCAAAAGTGTTTTAGGGGCTAAATTTTCTTGTGCTTATAATACATCTACAGGGGCATCAAAATATATCAAAATTGTAAAGAATCACTATCCACCCAATTTCAAAATTTAAACAAACTTTGTATTACCTTTAACTTATGATTAATAAGAGGAAGAAGAAGAAGATCGTAATAATTATCATGATAACATATGGGATATTATTAGCAATTTAGCATAAAGGATGATAAACAAATGAATCAATTTCGAATGGAAAGTAGACAAATGCAAATAAGAACGAATTGGACGACGAACAAGTGGATGTCTCGGTTTCAGTCAGCTACCCTAATATTAAGTAAACGTTCATACGGCACTAAAATCGATTGTATCACCATAATATATGTAAAGCAAACATTTGTGATCGTGTTATTGCGAAAATGGGAATTAAGATTTTTTTTTTGGCAGAGACATTGTTATTCGCGTCTATCTGCTTTCCCGTTTACATACTTCTAAATCCACTAGAATACCAATTTGGATTAATGCTTATTTTAGATAATTATCCGCAGACCAACAGACGAGGGATTATACCGAGGGCAGCTTAACCGAATAGTGCAAGCTGCAGACAGATGTTCATTTTCTCGTTATCAGTTGCCTTATATTCTTTTTTTCATACCGGAAATAAAATAAAAAATATTATCTTCACATAGCCATTCTTTGACCTCGGGTTGAACATTGTAAACTCAGTTTTGTCATGCGGTGAAAATGTGGTAAGCCCTGAAACAAGTCGAAATATTTCTTGATTTTAGATGATAAAGACAGTCGTGTGTCATGGTCATATCCTTTTCATTATCAGCTTCTGATACATTATGCCTGAGGTTAGAATATTTTCGAGGGAAGCGAGCGAACTGGAATGCCACCATTTAAACCCAAGACGGTGTACATGAAGTGCACAAAACACTCTACTCCTGTATCCCTTATCACATTATAGACCCCAAAAGGTACATGAGAAGAAATCATGTGAAATCCATTTTCTTTTTGTTCTTAAGTTCTTAACATATATTTGTCGATACTTCTACGCCCTTATAATCATATAGATTCAACGTGGTTGATTAAAAAGTTGATATCGACGTACGTAATGTATGTGCAACACAAAACAGTGGTATACAATCAACATACTGTCGTTCTATCTCTCAACTCATGACACATTTCGACGAATGTTTGCGTGAGATTTCACAAAAGAGCGGTATAAAACCAACATAATGTCGTCTGAATCTCTCACTTTATGACACATTTCGATGAATGTTTGCGTGAGAGTTCATGAATTTGGAAGCACACACACACTCCTCCTCTAAACACACATACCTGACAGTCACCTTTCCCCTGATCTCTGCAGCTCATAAAGTATTCCCCCCCCCCCCAGTGGCGTATCCAGTCCTTTGCCATCACTGGAGGGGCAACATATACTATCTGAGTT